AAAATTGTTATTTTACGGTGATAATCTTGTTTTCTTGTGCCCAATAATGCATAATTTCATTTGATAAACACGTTTAGATTGAATGGTAATTTATAATCAGTCACAAGAACATCGAATCTGAATCACTTGAAAAAAACACGGGGGTGCTTAACTTTTTTCCAGGTGTATATATTGTAAACCGTGATGTCTGTCTCCCATTCACAGCAGCCGCTTCTTGTGCTGCATTTGAAAATCTTTGCACGCAGGCAAAGCTCAACATTCATTTTTGATAATAATGGGAGAACAAGCATGAATAATATTGATGGAAATTTCATTTTGTAGGCAGGATATTCAACACTAAATTGTTAGGAATTAATCACACTATCATTCACATTTCAAAATGTGATGTAACTTAAAGAATAAAAATGTAGATTTACCGTATGTTATTGTTGAGCGGCTCTTGATAGATTAACTTAAATTTTTCCCATCACTGGGATGGGTACTTTTGATTTTGTAAGATAATACACAAACTGTATTTAATTTTTTTTTTCTATAGGAATATCAGAAGAAAACTTAGCAAAACTAATCCAACATGCTCAGATTCCAGCTGTTGAGAAATGCATCATTACGAACATGGTGCACCTGGGTGTCAATATTGTGACTGATGTGAGTTTCTTAGTGATTTCCTCGCCATAGTTTTGTTCTATTTGATGTGATATAAGAAGGTGAAATAAATTATAATCTGTAGGGAAAACTAAAGTGGCTAGGATTGAGAGACTCATCTCTTTGATAGACTTGTGAAACGTAAAGGTTTTTGTGAAGAATTAATACTGAACAAAATCCTTTAGTGATGTTAAGTGCGTATTGAAAACGAAACAAAAAATGTAATTTCCAGTAATAAAAAAATTACATTCAGTGATTATAATTTTTTTTCTTGCAATGGTAGTCAGTTCGACAACAAGTTAACTTAACTGAAGATTTTGTTAAAGACACTTCTAAGAACGAACTTTATTTAACAGATAAGTTTTTAAGTTTGAACCAAAAATACAATAACTCAAACTGTGGTCTGTCACTAGATTTATTGTTTTTATAACAAACTGTATCAAGTGCATTCTGTATTCAGATCTAAACAAGGGAAAAGTTTTTATTTGTAGATATAAAAAAATGAATTTATTCATTTTTGTTTCCTTAGAATTCCAAACTGAGTAGACTTTCTATAATAAATCACCCTTCTAAGTATTAATAAGTGTGTTAACTGCAAAGTCTCGGAGAGAATAGGATATAATAAGGCTTCTTACATTTTATGTACACTGTACCTTCGGACTGGAGGGCCAGAAAAATTTGCTGTCACACTAATATTGTTAGTACTTCTAGTTGCTTATGTGTTCCAACAATGCTGCTGTTGAAGAGGTTACTTAAGCTTTCAATTCTGCTCTAGGATGCCAAATTTTTAAAGTTGCTTCTTAATAGTGAAGTCTTTCCTTTACAAAAAAAAAAATAATTAAGATCTGTGAAATTAATAACCTGGAAACAATTTCAATGGTTAGACTCTTAAAGAGTATTAGCTTAGTATCCTTTGCTGCATAGTTTATACTTGATTAAGTAAATGGCAAATTTAGTCTTGTTAACAGATAAACCATTGCAATTTTTTTAACTTATGTCTAATATGAAGTTAGCAGTATTTGGTTGTCATAATCAGTATAGATTTACATGGTTTGTTCATCCATTAAAGTCTTTATATCAGTTTTAACCACTACGTTGCTACAAAATATGGTAACAGTATTTATTGGTCATAAAATTTATGTAAACTTATTTTTTATAATCAATCTTACAGTGAGACTAGCATTAAGGAAATGCAGTTTAATTTTAAATCATCATCTAATGTTTCTGCTCTGTTGGCCAGTTTGTTACCATATGTGTATTGTGACTTTAAAGGCCATACTGATTAAGATACATTGCTTACTGAGTTGTAAATATGTTAATTTGATAGGCACAGTAGAGTGTTCGCATGCACCTGGAAAGGAACTTCAAAAATAAAATTATTTTTAACTTTCTTACATCATATGTTTTTAGTAATCTTATACTTAATATACTAATGAAAGTTGTGAATATAAAACTTAAAAAGGAGAGTATAACAAGACAAAAGAAAAGTACTTTTGTTTCGTGTCAAATGGTGCCATATAGCACTAATCTCTAGATTATATATATAAGTGGTGGCCCTCTTTCTTTTTTTTAATGTGTATGAAGACATTTTTATCACAGAAATATAAAAAATTAATCAAATTAAATGGATGAAAATTAGGGATATACTAATATTAATATTGCACCTCTGTTAGTGTCTAGTATTTGACCATATCTGTAATATCAGTTATAAGAAAGTTTAAACTCAAAAACTCGTTTGATACATCACTGCACTGCACCATAAAAAGAAATGCATTAACAGTAAACTTGTAAAAATGCACATCTTGCCGAAACACAAATTGTATACCAAACTTGCACAGATTAAAACATTGTTAACAGCAAGGATACCCGACTGATAAAACAATACAATTTAATCTTTATAAGTAAGAATGTAAGAAAAGTATACTTAATTAGCTATACTCATTATGAGGTTAAATTTTAATTTTGCCGTAAGTAAGTAGCTTGTCCTGATAGGAAGTTAATATTGTTTTATTATATGTAGAGAAAATATTCTATTAATTTGTAAAGTTTTATACAAGCTACAGTAAAAACTTGATTTAAAGCATAATGTTCTTTATAAAAGACAAACCCAAGATACTGAATGATTTTTTAACTTACTTTGTATTTACTCTCCATAATCAATGATAGTGAGGAATATAGGAATGCACGTGGGAGCATGATAAATGTTATTGATAGTGAAGAAAAGGTTGCATATTTTGAGGTTCAGTCAAGTGAAAAAAATTTCAGTCAGTTAGTGCAAAAACGAGTAAGTATCATTGTAATTGGGAGTGGCCTGTAAATCCAAAGTACAAAGAATGTGTCATGGAAGATTGGTTAAACAGATGTACAGTTATTGATAAATAAATTGACGAGAAGGGTTAAGTTGCACTGTCTAGCCATGTGTGGAAGAAAGCATACGTCAGCTACTCAGTAACCCGAGGCTGACGTGGGGGCAAGATGATGTAATCATAATTAAAAATGGGTAAAAATATTCAGACCTAAGACTGTTTTGTGTGATTCCCAAGGAAACAGTTTGTTGTTCCTGATAAACTGTCTCAATACAACTGCTGAATCAGCCTAACAGCTTTTGGGTAGGGAAGTTTCCAATTGATCCTGGAAAATCCTGGAATTTATTACCTGAAAAGTGTATAGATCCTTTAGTAGAGCATTATAAACTCAAGTTGGTGTTGGGATTAGAAATTTCATGTAGATCAGTAGAGAGAATTTTTTTTTAAATTATGAATTCATCACTGTTATAAAAAGCATTTTATTTCCACAAGTACATCTAAGCAACTTTTTTATTCCATTGTTTGAATCACCAGTCAGTGATCTTATTAGTATTGGTGAGGGAAAGATGCAGGAAAGGATATTTTGTGATTTTCAAAACACTCACTATGCAAATGATAAGGATGTGTTATGTAGGAAAACTTTAGAAATCCGATTTATTTTGAAAAGTTCACCAGACTTCATCCATCCGCTTCAAGCTAGATTGGAGATGACATTTCAATCTGCTATTATCATAGTTCTTCCATCTTCTAATGAAGATTAGCTTTGCCAAACTGAAACAACAGCATAAAAAAAAATGTTAGAACTTCAAATTTATGTGGTGTAGCTGAGAACCGTAAGGGTTGTTAAAAAAAAGAAAAAACATTCAAGAGTTTTATTGAATATTACTTTGAAAGTCATGTAATTTAATTTTGTAAGCTATTTACCCGGGAACATAAGTATTTTATATTGAGTAATAGTAATTAAATATTTTAGAAATGTCAATTAAATCTATGTTAAAGCTTTAAAAAAATAACATGGTGAGTATAGTAGCTCTAAAAAATAAAGCTTTGATTTTACTTTCTTTTTTTTTAGTAAATTTGTAAGTTAGCACCTTAAACTTTGTGTTTATTTCATTTCATTTTGAAGATTTCCATACAATGTAATGGCAAAAAACTCTTTGAAGTAGGTCTACTAATAAAGGATTCCTGCCTCCATTAGTAGACCTACTTCAATGAGATTCATGGGCACGTGAAAAAACCAATGATTTGCTGCATGATCAAAGCCCTTGCCACTTAACCTGTTGAGGTTAGCATAATGTATTTCTTCATCTGCAGCCAGAAGTTATTTGAAAGTGTACACCAAGAATGGTAATGGTAGCTTTGTACTTGTAGCAGGAGAATACCGTGGTGATAACCGGTTATTGAAATAAATATATATAAAGATTAAAAGTATTTTTTTCCTTATTTTGTTTTCACCACTATTCCTTCTTGTATGCATATAAAATTATTTTAGTACAAGTAATTCTCAAAATATTTACAAGCACACATAAATATGTATTGAAAGTGATTAAATCTCATTATTATCTTTTAACTAAATTCATCATCTTTTAACTAAATCATTCTGCACTGATACTTGGCCAACTATATGGCTTACCATGATATCTTTTTTTTTTAAACACAGGGAAGCCGAAAGAAAATTTATCAAATCCCCAGAAAGGAACGCATAACAGAACACACCTATCAGATGTCACGATGGACTCCTGTTATCAAGGATCTCATGGAGGTGTGTACTTTAAGTAAAGTATAATGTCAAATATATACAAGTTCTGTTAATATATAATCAAGCAACCAATATGCCAAAGATAAAGTTGATCGTAAGTTTAACTTGCTTGGAAGTAATACATTTATTTGATTGTGACATGAATAGGCATTGTATCATTTCTGGTATTGCTATCGAATACATCAGCTTTTACTTTGTTATACAATTTCTGTATTGGTAACAAAAATGGATATTATATTTAGGATGCTGTTGAGGATAAATTGGATAGCAAGCATTTTCCTTTTCTGGCTGGTCGAGTTGCACCAACAGCATATGGACGTCCAACTCCAACAAGGTAACTTAGAAGGTTAAATAAAGATAATCAGCACCAAAACTATTAATTACATTATCAAGAATGACAACCAAATCTCACTACCTAGTCAGATAAGAATTGATGGTGGGTACTCCTCAAGTCTACCGGTTCAGAATTAAAGATGGCTAAGCACAGATAGCCCTTGTGTAGTTTTGTGTGAAAATTCTAAATAATAAAAAGATATGATACCAAACTTAGGTGATAACATAGTTATTTTCTTATTGTTTCTGAAGGAAATTCAAAGAAATAATGTTACAGCTTTGGACGATAGTTAATATTAAAACAAAATAAGCAACTCTCAGAAACAACTATGTGACACTTAGTTATAAAGCATCCAACAAATAAAAAACTTCTCTGACAAGTTGTCAGATGAAATGTTTTCTATTTACTGTTACTTTATACGTTATTCAAACAACTGAGTGATTATTTTAATTATTGATGCATGAAACTATATACATTTTATGGTAGTTATTATCATTAGGAGTTAGTATAAAATATATATAATTGTTTGTATTTGATAGTGAAAGAAAGGAAACAAATTTTGTTTATTTATTTACCCAAACATGTTCGGCTACAATGAACGGTCTTTGTAGTGAATAACTTTATAATGTAGACGATGAGTCATTCTAATTGTTGTGTGTTTTTAGTAATGTATTAAAAGTTCTTGTTGGTTGATGAGCTGATAACATATATAGTTCAGGTTAGAATCTAAGGGGTTTTGAAAAATAAATCTCACTTTTTTTCCCGAGGTAATGACGAGCGTGAGAAAACGTCATTTCAACATACTCTTAGGTGTTTGACTCTTCGAATTTAATTTTTTGGGAAAACATTTGAATCATGGTGCTCACTAGAACTCAGGTTCGTGTCACGTGTGCTGCCTTTGGGATGGCTCAGAAACTAGTTATAGACATGCTCCGAGAATTCAAGTCTTCCAATCGATACATCGCAATGCCAGTTTTGAAAAATCTGGTTAATGCCTCAAAAGTTTCAGAATTGTTGAATTTGAAAGAGTAGTCTGTGAAAAAGTGGTGGAAT